TTAGCGTGCCGACGTGGGAAAGAAAAGCTAAGGGAGACACAGTGAACTGACTCATGAAGTAGATTCACCCAGTGAGTTACTAAACACCCACAGGATTGTGTGATGGATTAAGAACCCCGTCTACCATGGTAGTGACTAAAGATCTCTTCCTTGGAATATGTGGGAAGCTTCTGGCCCGACCGGCACCCCAGAACAGAGCAGGTATTCAGGCCGGGCAGGCACAACAACGGCAGCTGTTTCCACTGATTAGTTCCTCTCCTCGTGCCCAAAGGCGGCTAATCAGAGAAATCTGAGGCCTAGAAACAGCCGGAGAGGTCTGAGGTCTACAGAGCAGAGCTAACACAGGTCTAACACATCAGCTTTAGCCAGACACGTCGTTACAGAAAACACCTAGTTCCCCCCCCCCCCTCGTCCGTTTTTCCTCAGCTCCTTTTGTTCCATAATGTCTCCAGCTAGTCCACCCCTCTGAGGAGTAAAGTGGTGAACTCTGCAGGCTTTGATCAGGGCCGGTCTGTTTCATGTTCACACCGAGGCCTTCCTGCTGTTAGAATTAGGCTATAATTACTCACGTTAGCATTGTATGCTATCACACGATCTATGTAAATAACAATATAATAAAACGATATACTTTTGTGTCGAATTCTCTGGCTGTAACCACAGATTCTGTTTTCCTCTCTTTCTCTCTCTACCACATTCCAAGGTTACCTCGATTAATTAGGACCTGGCCTGTTCATGTCAGGGTTAGGGCTGGTAAGTAACTGGCCAATAAGCAGTGTCCAGTCCTCCTTTTGAGGAGGCGGATCGAGCCCAGGAGATAATGCCCATCACCCAGATATCAGGGCTCTTTGTCCACTGAGACCCAGAGAGAGGTTTTTGTCTGTTAGAGCCCAGCGGATATACTTAACTGTGACCTAATACACGTCATTTTTTAAACTTTTGATCCACTCTGGTTTATTCTCAGGTTTCCGACTAAAGAATCGGGCTAACACTGATTAGCATAAGCCCTCTCACAGCTTTGGCCTGTCTTCTCTCAAAGCCGTTTAGTCGAGACCGGCTCTGTTTGAACATGGATCCCGGGGGGAAGTGGAGCTGACGGCTGATCGCTCGCAGGCAGGAATGGAAACCGACCCCTTTAATGGAGGAGAGCACTCACCGACATCATGATGGTCTCCTTCATGCATTTCCCCTCTCCGTGCCGGATTTGGAAGGTCCTGGAGATCTTACGGTCGCTCTTGTCCCCGTCGATGACGGTGGCCCTGGACAGCGCCCGCAGAGCGTCCAGGACCAAGGTGTAGCCCATCTCTAGGAGGCGGAACGAGAAGATAAAATGGTTGAGAACAATTCAATTCAATTCAATTTTATTTATATAGCGCCACATCACAACAAGAGTGATCTCACAGCGCTTTCCAAACAGAGCAGGTCAGACCCTGCTCTGAAGTTAATTACAGAAACCCAACAATTCCCACCATGAGCAAGCACTAGGCGACACAGGCAAGGAAAAACTTCCTTTTTCTTAAGTTTGTATTCTGGCAGATCTGTTCTGAGAATATCAGAAAGGTGCCCAGTTTTTAAGCAATCAATGTTTTTTTTTTTTTTCTTTTTTTCCTTTTGTTGTTTCTTGTGTTTAATGTGGACAATTTACCAAAATAAAGTGATTGATTGATTGATTGATTGATTGAGTTTTTAAGCTGTGAAAACATCGAGGGACTCATTTTTTAGTTGTTGCTCGCCTCCTCAAACAGGAGGCGAGCGTGTGGCGTGCCGGATGGCGTGCGTTGGGCCCCACCTGCCGGTTCGTCTCGGGCCTTGTTGTCGGACTTGACGTGGTAGTGGAAGCACACGGTGGCGTTCACGCAGGCGGACCTCCGGTCCCCGTGCTCGCACTGGTTCTGGGACTTCTGCAGGCTGATCTTCCGGGGGTTAAAGGTCATGTTGGCACGCAGCTCCGCGACGTCTCTCGACCTGTTTGTGGACATGAGAGTCAAAGGTTGACAAATAAGGGCAAACTCCAGGACGTTTTGGGGGGCTGGTGTGTCCACGGAGGGTCGTATTTAGGCTGATTACTACCTGATTACTACAGTATTTTTGTCTTCTTACATATTTGATGCACGCCTTTATGCATGCGTGTGCTTCCATTAAACGGGACATATAATGCAAAACCAAGTTTTTAATAATTTGATTAGGTACATTTGGGACTGTGGAGGGCTTATCAGCAGGCAAAGTGTGAAAAAAAATGACTGGCCGCCTCAGTCTGAATCCAGGAGATAAATCAGGAGGTTTCAGGAGTGGGTAGTTTCTGACGTCATTAGCTCTAGCTCATTATAATATTCCAGCCTTTCACCTGCATGTTGCCCCCCCCCTCAGCTTACTCCGCCTATCTGTGGCAGACGTCGTGGTAGCGTGAGCGTTAGCATGGTAGCGTTAGCATGGTAGCGTTAGCATGGTAGCGTTAGCGTGCCGACTTGGGCACACCTCCCGGAAGAAGTGGGTGGATTGCCTGTGTCTCATTTGCATTTAAAGAGACAGGCACTCCAAAGCGAGCGCTCTGAACGGGGCTGTTTTGGCAGGGGGACTGAACTGCTATTGGGCTTCATCCTTATGGGATTTTGACCAAAGCTTGTCGCAGACATTACATTAGGACACCAGGGAACTAGTTTAACTTGTTGAAACAGGGTATAATATGTCTCCTTTAAGTCAAAGTCAGGAACAAGAAACGGATGTTCTGTATCTTCGGGGAAAAAAAAAACTTGGCTCCAGCTCTTTCCATCCGACCGTTGAGCTCTGCGAAACCCAGCTAGCCGTCCAGGAAGAGCAGCCGCATGCAGCCAGTCTCTATTTAAACTCCCGGCCTCTTGGGAGATGCAGTTTTCACACAGCCCAGTTGAGCTCCTGCCAGTAAAAGCTGTGGGAGAAGATCGGCCTGGGAAGCTAAGTCATGGCGGGGGCTATAGAGTTTCGGAGTTTAGGGGGCTGATATCTGCACAGCGTTGTCCAACTGTGGAGGCCTGTGTGTGGGCGGGGGTTTGGAGGGGAGAGGGATCGTGAGGAAGTCGTTGCTCTCCGGCCTACAAGCCCGGCGGGACGCACGCAGCTGTCCAAATGCGAATGAGACAATGCAAAGCAGACATGGAGGAGGATGTGAGCTGGTGGTGGCTGAGGTGGAATGTGGAGCACAGGGGTGTCAAACTCAAAAACACGGTGGGACAAATGTAAAACATGATCAAAGCCAATCGGGCCAAGATTGAACAAATTGACCCTTTAATATGGAACAAAGCTAATTTTGCTTTAACACTGAATATGGAACAAGCAACTCTTATTACATTATATTTAACTTAATAGTGGAGACATGGAAAAACAAATTTAACCCTTTAAAGCCTGATCCAAGAAAAATAGGAAGAATATTGGATTTTTTTAGTCTGAAGTCTTTCTTTGGCCCCTCAACAACATATGAAGAAAAGAAAACAGAAATTATTTTGATCAAATTAGCGTGCAATAAGTAAAAAATATAGTCTTCCACTGTTATCAGGTATATCTGAATGTGTACAACAGGGGTTTGAGCAAAGCTTTTATCACTGAATGATGCAAAAAGTCTCAGATTCCAAAGACTTCAGAAACCGTATGAATCAAATATGACACATTTTGCATTATAGGGTTAAATAAAAAAACACATCAATGGCATTCATTTATGAAATAAAATTTAAAACATTTTGTCTATTCGCAGCCTTCTGAATTAAACATCAAAATAAAATTAGCATGTCCAGAAAGCTCCTGTTTCCTGCCTTTCTTTTGGTCATTTTTGGGAAGTCTAGCACAGTGACAGCTGTAGTGTGTAGCTACTGTCACAGAGGAGTTTCTGGGTCCTGTCC